ATAAGGAATATTCACTTGTCAGTACAGTGTATTGTCTATGCAAGGAATATTCACTTGTCAGTACAGTGTATTGTCTATGCAAGGAATATTCACTTGTCAGTACAGTGTATTGTCTATGCAAGGAATATTCACTTGTCAGTACAGTGTATTGTCTATGCAAGGAATATTCACTTGTCAGTACAGTGTATTGTCTATGCAAGGAATATTCACTTGTCAGTACAGTGTATTGTCTATGCAAGGAATATTCACTTGTCAGTACAGTGTATTGTCTATGCAAGGAATATTCACTTGTCAGTACAGTGTATTGTCTATGCAAAGAATATTCACATGTCAGTACAGCATATTGTCTATGCAAGGAATATTCACATGTTCCACAGCCTATAACCAGTAGTAGCAAAATGTCACATGTGGTCCAATACAAGTACTATTCCAAACATAGAAGGAGATTTTTAATTAATTCTTCCAAATAAAAGTTAAATGTATTGAATATTCAGTTATAAAAATATATTCCACACAAATGCTATTTGGTTATGTAATATATAACACGGTGCTCATTATGCCTGGGTGGCTGACTGGGTGGTTTTAACAATCCATTACAGTTTATCTAGAGCTTTCACAACAAATGTTTCATCTTTACTACCACTACTGTCATCCTCGCCAGTACGGTTCAGGTCAAATGAAGGCTTTTTTGGAGTTTCAGGAGCTGCTGATATCTGTGCAGCAAGATCAGCAAATTTTGAGATGTAATCAATGCTGTTTTCATTCATCATGTATTGGAGAGTGGTGTCGACCTGTGAATAAACAAAGGAATATACAAAGTTGGCGTTAATGAAAAATATTAATGTTTTTAAAAAACAAGAGTACGGATATGAACGTGGATTGCTGAAGTAAAACTTCACCCTGAAACATGTTTAATAGCATTTTAGTTGGTTGTTGCCATGGTAAATATGCAAAGAAAGCATCAACAACTTTGGTGTTTTCTCCACTTTTATCTCAAGCAAAGTGCCACAGCCATGCTCAAAATTTTATGTATTGACAGCGATTTTGACAATTGTTCAACTTTAAAATGACTCACAAAACCATGCTCACATTCACGTGTTGGACTAGCACTAAACTATGATTGCTACCGGTACTTGTTTTCTAAATAACAAGATCTGACTATGGAACAGCATATATGCTTCATTATAATGCAAGGAAAATCGGTTGGAGAAACAATTACATGTGCATCTGTGGAGTTGATGCATGTGTACAAATCTACAGAAGACCATGTTTTCAGACTTCATCAAAGTGGAAACTAATGAGATTGAACGTCCATCAACTCCCCAAAAAATGTAGACATAGGAAAATTGATTTTGACTTACATCGGCTGCATGTTTAGCCATGAGTGAATCCCTTGAATATTCATTGACAAGACTGGGTGGTTGAGCACCCACCAACGAGTGGTTACCACGATCTTTCTTCTCTGGTGACTCGATACTAGCCAGTATGCTACTGAATGAGATATCGTCTCTCTGTAATTAAAATATAAATTCAAAAATGTTATTTATTAAATTCACAATGATGATAACAATCTTTTAAGCTTGCTGTCAATACTGGGCTCGCTATAATGATCACTTGCGACAATTCAGTAACCATCAACATCAGACTAGAAATGGCTGACGAGTCATTAAACTGAAACCAACGATATTAAAATGAGCACCATTGTTGATTTGTTCTGCATTACTACAGTAAAGCGAAATTGGTGAGATCACAAAATGGTGGTATTAATGGTTGATTCTGCAACAGAACCATTTTAATTTAAGGAAAAGTCAAGCCAAACAACATAATGACCCCCCCCCCCCAAAAAAAATCCACAAATGTAGGAGAATGCAATTTACAGCATTGTGTCAACACAGGTGGCGCTATTCAGCACAGACCTGTGTCTCATGACGCATAACTAGCCTCTGAAGGCTAAATATCCATCCGCTACCATTTTTCTCAGCGTTTCTGCCGCGGAACTATATAAAAGTATTTTTCTTGTTTTGAACACATCCTCTCCCGATTTTTAGCAAGATTTAATCTTGATACATTAAAATAACACACAACACTCATCAGAATATCTTATTTTATTAACATTAAAATGCATGTAAATTGGAAGGTCAAAAGTCTAATTTTTCTCAATATTGCATTGACACGCAGATCGCCGCAAACCAAGCGAATAGCGCCACCTGTGTTGACACAAAGTGGAAATAGTTCCGACCACTTTTCCCATAGTTCCACGCGCGGTATGTGTCAGATCGGTTGGTTTGCGGCGATTTGCGTGTCAATGCAATTTACAGTTGTTTTATTTCATTTTTCATTCTCTAGATATTCAACTTTTCATCAGTATGACACTATGACAAAATATGTAACAGTTTCGCTAAATAGATTGGGCGTGTCTGACGATAATTGTTGTGCATGGCCTTGTGCTTACTCATGATCTATTGCTACAGCATTGCTCGATTACCGTTTCTGTAGAAGCGAATGTTTTCGGCAAAAATCACTATGCATATGCAAAAAACAAATCAACATATTGCATTGCTCACCTCTCCATTTAGCCATTGCTGTTCAGGTGTAGACAGTGATAGTTTAAAAGGTGATGTTGATGGACTCATGATTGGAGACGCTATTCCAAGCTGTTCTTTCGGTGATGGTGGTGTTGTAAGGTAACTACTATGTACAGCATTAGTGGTGGATACCGGGGTATTTAATTGACCTGCAAAACCTACACAAAACAAAGCAGGGTATCAATGAATCAATACTGACAGGAGACAGGATTATTGAAGATTCCACAAGACAAATGTTCGTGAATTTCGTGGAAACAGCGAATATTTTTTTGGAATCATATAAATGTATTATGTGTCCAGAGAAAACTAAATATTAAAAAGAAATGATTCCTGAATGATAACAATAATTCATTGTTGCCCATTCCCCATTTCTGAGGGCATTCAATGTCACCTACAAATGCCGTAGACCAAGTTGCCTTATGCGTGAACCCTAAAGGTCTCACATCCTGGCACTTTTTGGGGTATTATTAACTATATAACAGAAGCAATTTCCAATGTTATATTAAATTAAACTGATTTTGAACTCAGATTGTAGCAACAGGTGGTTTAAGATTGTGAAAGGAATAACAGATTATTTTTAAGGGCGCTAAGACTGTCAAACCTAGCCATTCAAGTTACCTTGGCAATCTTTGCGATGGAATCCTATGTAGTATTTTTAAACATAATATTGATACTTACTATGAATCCCAGTCGTTGCAATGCCCATGTTAATGAGTGATTCCGCTGATGTGGACAGCATAGCGCCATCTGGTGGTGGTAGAGAGATATCCAACAGGGAAGAGATGTTGGGGGGCGAAACCAGCAAATGATTTGTATTCTCACTTGATGTTCCCGTTGTGTTTATACTGAGAGCAGCAGATATTGGCACAGATCCAGTCTTAGTTGGACTACCACTAGTAATCAATGGGTCCGTGTTTGTGGTCACTGATGTCGATGCACCACCAATGTGTGATATCTGAAGGAAATCAAGTAATTTATTAAAATGTAACATTATTTGATGTGGGAGAAATGAAGAAGAACACGCCAGATCCAGGGTACAGTAATTATAGGTCAACATGAAGGGCTGAAATTGAGTTAGACTACTTTGATCTTCAAGGGATGTTCTCATACATTTAAAGAAAAGATCTTAGGGTAAAATCCAGAAAGAATGGCAAAATAAAATGAATGTCAGAATACAATGCATTGTTTTTTGACACATATGTATTCAGGTTTTTTAATCAAGGGAACAGGGGCGCAGCGCCCTCATGCCATGCCCATGTGGCCCCTTACCCTGGGGAGCAGATCCTCTGGCAACCATAAAATTCTGATTGACCAGGAATCACATGTCTTCAACTGTGACCTGTCTGATAGTAATTTTGGCCCCAAGGAAGCCATTTTAACTTAGAATTATCAAAAACTCCACACCCTGGTAGGGAGAACCCTATCTCCCACCACTTGGTGGCGTCGCTAAATTACAGTGCTCCCTCTTGCAGTTTTTTTTTCTAGAAAAATCCCTGGGAGACTGCCACGGTCATTATCCTGACTGTAACAGGGCATGTGATTTGACTGTTTTCATAAGTCTGTATTAATTTCTCTTTGAAATAATATTGAAAATAATATGCAAATTGGTTAATGCCACAGAACTTTAATTTTCTGAGGAGATACAAGTAATGAATACAAAATATACATCATTGTGGTATTCATACCTTTTTGTTTTTTTATTTTGATGAGATTGTTATAATAACTACAGCTCTAGGTTATGGTACTTTATTGTTACGTTGCCTTTAACATCAAGGCAGTATTTAAGATTTTAGGCCAGACTTTTAGTATCCCTTGTTTCGCGAACCCGCCGAATGAACAGGAGCCCAAAATGAAATAAAAATAAAATTTAATATTATTTTTATCTTCATTTTTTACCGCCAGCCGCATAACAAATCCAAGCTGCATTTTCGTGGGAGTATCATGATCAAAGTACTCGTGCAGATGAGAAACAAGGTTATACATGGAATACAATTTTATTTTATTTCTTTTCTCCGATCAATAATCTCACTTACAATTCTTTGAGAATCACACAAATGTAATGGGGAAAAGAGAATTAATTTTATTTATTTTTTCGCCCTCAAAAAAACTCAAGAAACAAGGAATAAAACAAGTCTGGCCTTACCTACAGGTCACAGTGATGTGGTTTAGAAACCTATACTTGCACATGATAATCCATTTTGCATTACAACTAAAACTGTTCAGCTACTGTAAAATACTTTATTTTAGCTGGAATTTATTTTCACTTAAAAGACTTTTTGGGCGTTTTGTATGGAATTTATTTTCACTGATTTCTGACCAGTTGAATGTTAAATATAGAAAACAAGCAGCCTATCGGCTGAGATAGCTCCGCTGTTAGCAATGCACATGGCAATTACAGAACAGAAGATATCATGAGAAAATGAACAAATCTGAGAGAGGTCCACATGTAGTACCTATATATATAATATATCAAAGCAGTTTTCAACAAGAAGTCGAAAATATCCGTTTTTACCAAAAATTACAAAAATATTCATCAAAATTAGAGAATTAAAGATATCATCATAAAATGAACAAATCTGAGAGAGGTCCACATGTAGTACCTATATATGTAATATCAAAGCAATTGGACTTGAGGTTTAAACAAGAAGTCGAAAATATCACTTTTTACCAAACGACTGCGGACAATCACTCATATGATAAGCTCCGCTCGACAAAGTCAACAGCGGAGCTAAAAAAGTATATTCGCTGGATTTTATTTTCACTGAATCATTCCTTCAGCGAAAATAGCGAAAATTAATTCCAAGCAAAAATAAAGTCAAGAGAGAAAAACAAGCATATACCTGCATGGTGCCCATGTCAGCAGGCTGTGGTTGTGTACCACATGATGTCACAGCCATTGTCATTAAGTCAGTTGACACTCCATTTACAGTCAATCCAGGTCCCATCACTTGTGGTAGTGATGAGGGACTTCCCATATTTGTAAGCTGCAGGGGACTGCCAATGGGCGATGTGTGACCAGGAACACCAGCAACCTTAGCAGCTATCGCAATCGTATTTACTGAAAATAAAAAGTACAAGCGTTTGATGCAATGCACAAAGGAGAGGATGATTGGACTAAAACAATGCAATGGACGTGACTCAGACAAAACAGATGATGTAATCACAGATGAATATTGGCCATGGAAGAAACATCACAGTCACATATAAGTCTATTGTTATCAGAGATCGCACTCGGTATTACCGGTAATAAAAAGTGTGAGACGAGAGCGAGTAACTAACACTTTTTGCAGTTCAGTGAGACTTTATATTAGGAGTTTATTGGAAAGAACACAAATTCTCACAATTTGTTGGAGATATTTTAGATTGTCAGTTTCTTTTTCACAATTTGTTCATTCAAATTCTTTGACGAATTGAATTCCCACTAATAAAGTGGTCAATTTCACATCGATGAATCAGATTCTCACCAATGAAGTGGTGAAGAATTTGGATTCATACAATTGAACAGTGAGAATTTTAAAAATAATATCAAGTCTCAGGAGAGACTCACACTTTTTACCAATTTTAACTCCTGGACTGTCAATCGTTGGAGACTGGACTAGTTCAGCAGAAAGTGTAATGCATTCCCAGTGTGTTGGCAGCATTGTATTAGAGCAGAAGCTAAAGCATTTAAACTTTAAACAGCATTTTTATATTAACAAATGGACGCACTAAACTGGAAATCAAATTTCAACAGAGCTTGAATGTCAGCATTCTAACACCAAATTTCAAGGCCAAAATTTCTAAAAAAAAATAGCTTTTATCGATTAAAACTGTATGCTGACTTTATTGAAAAGAATTCACAGGTGGAGAATCTAAACAATTTACAATACTCTTGTATTGATACAATATAGTTTGAATTTGATATTCATCCATAAGCTTTATGAAATCTTTAATTTTGTTATCTTCAAAGAACTCAGTAGCACTGAATTGTAAACACAATTTTTTTATTAATTTAGAGTATACATGCATTTTCCTTCTTTTCTATTCCAGATAACCTGCATACCAATAATCTTATATATGGAACAGTTTCAATAACCACTACAGGAAGTTTACGCCAATTGAAACAAACAAACATTCTTGTTAAGTATATAATAAAATGTCCATTTTGTGAGGCTTATTTAGAGTGTGAAAATTTATTTTTGGTATTTTTTCCTGTGCAATTCAAGGTACAGTGTACTGAAAATGTTTTTTTTCTCTGTATTTCTTAAGAAAATATAATTACTGGTATTTTAATCGTTGCATTAGTTGGACCTCTCTATTGCTAAAAAAAGTTTGTTTTTTTCTCAGCAAAAAGTTGTTGTTTTCTTTGAAAATTTACCTTGAGTTAAAATAAAGTTGTCCACAGATCATGTGATCAAGCTAAATGTTTGTGAATTCGCATTTTACAACACAGAATCAGAATATGAGTTACAGAGAATACATTGAAACATGATGAAATGAAATGAACTGAAACAATGGTGAAACAAAACAAAGAACTCTATAGCATGCAAGTAAGCCAGGTGGATGTAGCATTCTACAGATAGTCAACAGTCCAGTAGTAAAAGGTTCTGATCCTACCTGTGTTAATGGTATTTGTGGTGGTTGTGTTTCCAGACGTTAAGGGAGCTATGTTCCTTGGCTTTGATCTGTTTGTATTGGAAGGAGTGGCAGTAGATGCAAGTACACCAAGCTGGCTAGGCAGTATAGGAGTAAAGGAGCCGGTACCGGCACTTGTAGAGTTCTGTACAATGGATAACGACATCATATGACGTGTAGGATTCTGGCTTGGTCGTGGTAAAAGAGTACGCTGAAAAAGTCACATAAGGTCATGCAATAACTGCTTAAATTACGCAAACAATCTATGGTGACAGTGAGCCCACAACCCAATTTGATGATCTATCAGCAACTTTATAATTAAAGTGCCTGTGAAATGGCTGCTATTTTCACGCCTAAAATTATCCATTGATACATAAATATTATTAATTTTCATGTTTCTAAGCATGAATTATTTTTTTTAAGTGAAAAAATGTGTTTTAAACTCAATCTACAGCAACTTTATTTTGTGTATTTTAAAACGAGG